TTGATAATTAGTCAACCTTACTATGGTTTATCTTCGTAAAAGTAAGTTAGATAGAAATTACCATTTGTTACTATGGTAAATTCTCAAGTAGTATATATAGAGAGGTAGGGAAGAGACTCTCAAGCAAGTTTGGAGAGTTCATATGTAGAAACTTGTTTCATATATGAAAGAGTGACGAATTTTCAATACCTTGGAGTGTCGATGAGTGTGTGAGCTAGAGTGATACCTTGAGAGATTGTGTGAAAGGGTGTTTTTGCTATGCGTATGATGCGGAATCATAGTCTTCTAGAACCATGATGAGCTACCGAAAAGCCATCTGAGGTAAACCTGAGTGAGAGTCAGCCCGTAGGTTGCAGGCCGAGATCCAGACTTGCCTGCAGCGATTCGTCGTGAGTCTAGCGAGGTGGTGAACCTTGATGATCCAGATATGTGGGTGAGAGTGTGTTCTCAACGTGAAGTGCTCTTTCGGAAAGTTATGCCTGCAGCGTTCGATAACCTTGCTATTGCTCAGCACAGGGATACCTTGCGGTATGCAACTATTCGAGGAGGAGGTTATCGACCATCGATTCGTAGGTTCTGTGTGGGAGACTACGTCTATTTACAGCAGACTGCACCGACTACGTTGGATGTGACAGCAGGACGCACTATTTTGCGAGTGCGAGAGGTGTTACCTTCTTGAGTTCTCATGTTGGAGGGTCGTGACGGTGTCGTTTGGAAGGATCATGGGCGCAATTGTGCGCCATGCCACCTCCAAAACGTGGATGGTACTATGGACCCAAGCTTGGCGATTGTATGTGCCGGCTTGAGGTGCATGTTATGTGGGTCAACTGATCAGGCGGCCCATATGTTGGTGTGTGATAGGTGTTCTAGGGGATGGCACATGTCGTGCTTGACTCCACCTATCGATGTTGTTCCTACTGGACGGTGGGTTTGTCCTCGATGTACTTCAGAGGGTAGATGACTTGATCTTCACATGTTATGAATTGCTGATAGGCGACTAACGATGGGGCGACGTAGCACACGGCCTACTGGTTCGCGCACCCACGAAGGTGCATAGCATGTAGTTGTATGCACGTTAGTGCAGTTGCAGATCGACGTTGGTGTCGATTTGAGTTCAGACACATTGGATTTGAGTGTGAGTCGGGTGACGTTGGGAGTCGGCTAACGTCGAGACGTGGAGCGTAGGCTAGGTCGACTTTACAGGTTTATATTCGTGGTGAATTCGAAGAACTGTCAGTTCTTCGAGTTGAGCCTTATGCGCAGGAGGTTTCTTCACTAGCTTCGACTTTCATTCTACCTCAGGGTAGTGAGTTTGGCTCAACTCTCTGTGTACTTGTGTTTTGACACTGATTTTAGTTGTGATACCTTTGTGTGTGGACACTCTCGTTCCTTGTGTATGTATGTGTGAGTTGTCAGTAGAGCATGACAGCGATGTATGATGTATGGCGATACCGAGTCGCACGACAAAGTTGACATGACGTGTAATCTTCACTGTGAAAAATTGACTAGCATTTAAAACATGTCAAGCTTATGCAATAATATCTCATTCAACTAATGGATCTCTTAAATGATTGAGAATGATACATTCCGCTGGCTAGAAATGTCTAACCTACGTTCATTTCAACTGAAGTTGGACTTTGAATGTCCATTATTTACAATGCTACAAACAAAATGAAAGCATCCGGATAACCACTTCTTCTTCTTATTATTCCTTCATTTTTAACCTTCTCCAATTGTATGAGGTGGCTAGCTGCAATGCCAGGCTTTTTGGTGCGTGATTGGAACCCTAGTTTTTTTGAGTTTCATTTTTTTTTTCTTCTTCTCCCACAATCTTGAAGAAGAAGGGAGGAGGAAGCAGGAAATGTTATTAAAACCCTCGAGCAAAAAATAAATAATTTAAAAAGTACAGTATCACAGGAGCCTGTGTTTGACTCTTCTTAGATCTTAGACTCTACTTAGATTAGTCACGACTCATGAAGCCTCGTCGCGCTATACAAACATTGTTGAAGAATGGAAATTTCTTCTTTTATTTTTTAAAATGAAAGAAATATAATAATATAAGATGATATAATGTGCATTTACATTTTTTCCAGCTATTTTTATTTGCGAAAATGCACCAGGTGAAATTCCAGTCACGACAAGAAGAATAACAGAGTTGATTTCAAGAGTGTGCAATGGTTGACTTGTCGAAAAGCTTGGAAGAAGCTCTTGAAGAAGAGGAGAGTATCTTCCAGATTTGGCACACCGTTCGTCTCCTCTTCATAATGTGGAAGAATGAGCAGACGCGTTCGTTAAGTACACTGCAGACATTCACTATCACGGTCGATGTCGCCCTTCATGTCTCGGTGTCAATTTTTCTTATCTGGAAGTAAGTTCTAGCGATTCTCATAAAGAAGAAGACCTTCACCGCCAGCAGAGCTGAACATTCTAGCGAATACCTTTCCCTGAAAAGGATCCGGGGTCTGGTTGAACTTCCTTCATTCTCCATCGAAGGTGACGGAGGAGACCGAGATCTCCTTTGGAAAAGTTTGCGATTGCTGACAAGGGACGGATGAAGGAATGAGGCGCTAAGTACAAGGGGGTTGCTATATCCGGAGCGAGCAACTGCTGAGCGAGTCAATAGGGGAATGAGCCACTGTGAAATGCAAAGTCAACCCCTTTCTTTTTGAACCTTGATTAATATCGGCGACGAGTGGATATACAGTATAGGCCTGCCCTGGTTCAGCTTTATGCCTTTTCAGCCATTACAACTGGATCGTGATTTCGATCCGCTGACTTCTCACGCGCAAAAACTTGTCACTACATCCAACATCATGCTTGTCTTTAAGATCAGTGCAAAGCTCACGAGACATCTGATGTTCTCGTGCCCGATATTTGACTTGCAAAAGCGTCAATTTCTCTAACAACATCAACAATACAACTTGCAGTTTTGACATCTTATTGACCGATTCCAGGAAACGCTCGAAATATACCATCAAAGCAATTCTGGAAATAATACGAAGACCAAGAGATACAACTAAAGGAATATGGATACCCCATCAAGTCCTGAAGGGATGAAACCAATAGTGTAGGATGGAGCTAGGCCCCCAATTGCATCAAGGTGGGTTAAAAAGTTGGGTAGTGAAGGTGGAAGAAGGTCAGTGTAAACTGTGCTCAAGGGTTCTTAAATCAAGGTGGTCATCTCGAACAAAAGTACCTTCCAGGTGTTTTCCAGATGCAAATCAGGGTTTTAATAGAGGGCAATGAGAGCAATGAAGGAGATAATAGTCAATAATGTTGAATGCTAATTCGAATATCAGCACATTTCAGAACCGATCTATCCTTTAATATGACTTAAAGTTTGAAGCGTTTAGATCAAGAGATGTTGATAGATAGACATGGACACTTAGTAAAGAATGTCAGTTGGGTGACAGTTGAGGTTGGGCACAACTTACGGGGAAGCACTCCTAATCTTGGCACTCTGGCAGTGGATTGCCCAACCGGGCGGGTGCATATGTTCTTCGGAGCTATGCCAATTTGGGACGGACTGAACATGTGACGATGCAACTGATCTGTCCATGGAGCACGTTCTTCATATCGTTCTTCCTGGAGCTACTTAAGAGTTATGTACCGAAAAAAGAGATTGGTGATCTCGTTTGTTGCAGAGGCCAGTCAATAGTTTCAGCGTTTGGTACTGGGCCAATGGCTTGACGGAGGTGAGTCTTGCACCGCGGAATCAGTAGCATGTGGTCATTGCTCCTGCTTTAATAAGGCTGTACCTAGCAATGGGTTGGAAGAAAACTTCTCATTTTCTAATAGCTACGACGGCCACTTTAATGACCTCGAACGACATGACTGTGACACTCGCTTGACGATATTGCTCTCTCTGAGGCTCATTATTAGTGGCAACAACACTTACGTTTCATATGTAGGCAGGGGCTTCAGATTACAGGTCTGCATGACTTTTTGATAATATTTAATTGATGAGACTTAAGGTAGAATGTACGTGTGAACTCTATTCCCCATGAATAATATATCGTAAGGGATCGATTGTTTAAGAAGTTGATTTGCCGAGTCGATGGTGAAAGATATACTCCATGGAAGGTAGCTTAAATTATTCCTTCCCTGAGATGATGTAGGGAAACGAGACTGAGTATGAATGCTCTCAACTTCAAGTTTTGTACAACTAATATAGATATAACGCGATGGTATATTGATCCCCTCAATCTGAATCACCGCCTTTGATTTTCATTAGTCTGGGTGGCATACTGACGAACTGTAGAATACGTACCAGTATATGTAAACGCGATATTCACTCTCCTCAATACTGACTGCAGTTCGTCCACTGCTGTGTCTGGTCCCTTCGAGTTTCATGAAACTCCCGTGCAGTTGGGACAGTTATCAGTTACTGCAGTCGAGTGCCAGGGCACCACCACACAGTTAAGATATCGAGCATCACAAAACGAGGTCATAATGGCACGTATTGCAGTCAGGAAGTACGGCCAATGAGCCGACCAATCCGCATATTTTACACACCTCGAATACAGCGCTGTCTTTGTCTGTAAGACTGGAAAGCAGCAGCGGGTCTGGTTAGAGCGCAGCTGCATGGAAATACTGGAACTGCGAAACATAGAGCAGAATAATGCTTCACAGGCAGATGATTCGAAGAAAGAAAGCTCGTAGAAAAAGTTGCATGGGGATAGACAGCGGAATGCTTTGCTTTGGAGGCTAATTCAAGGAACCGGATGGATGTATGCATATTAGACAACGGGAATCCGGAGGATGTAGCTGAGACACGGATGCTGAAAGGAGTCGCAGTAGTGAAAACTTTAGCAGGGCTCCGTGGTTGGGGATACGAGTACTGCGCTATAGCTGGGAAAACGTGTGCCGCAAATGTGGGACCAGCTGGAGACGCGGAGCTAGTACAGGAGGGGGGCCTATTTTTCTTGGAAAAGATGAGGTTGCATCTTACTAAGCGAGGAGTGGGGTTTGAGTTGACCGGATTTCTGCTATCTGCAGATGCACCCTTCAGCTGGAAATCTGAGGAAAGCTTCCTGCCTGTGGTGGTGAGTGCCAGACCGGTCAAGGGTACTCTCCTTTGTCCACATTCTGGGAAGAGATAAAAACCATCGAGCTCAGCCCAGAACGACTGCATCGGTTGCTAGTATCGCGTACAACATCTTCACCACCGGCTCCAAACTGAAACTCAGTTCGATACTGAAGTCCGGCTCAGTTTTGATAGCTCACTGATCAAGTACTTCCAGCAATATTGTCTTCCGGCTGCCCGCGTGACGATCAAGTAGAGGAAGACTGTCATAGGTGAAGAGTGAGAATTGTTGGTATCAGATAAGCTGATAGTTTGGGCAGGAGTGACTGAAGTAGCTCGCTGAGTGGCATCTCAGCGATGGCCGGTGGTTTCAACGGGGGTGCACCCAAGTATGACGCCCCACCATACTACACTCAGAATAACAGTTCGAAGAGGAGGAGATGGTGCATTGTATTGACTGCTGTTATAGTCTTGGTTGTCATAATCTGCGCCATTGCAATTCCCGTTTCCATGAAGAAAAATAAGGACGACGACAAAGGTAATGCAAGCGCTGACAACGGAGGGACTGGCAGTGGGAGCAGCCTCGAGAGAGCTTGCAATCAGACTCGGTACCCAGAAGTGTGTATGACATCTCTGGGCCAACTGCCGAATGCCAACACTTCGAATCCTCGAGACCTGGTGAGAATCGCAGTGTTTGCAGCGTCTGCAGGCGTATCCCAGGAGCTCGATAGAGCTCAAGCTCTGCTGAAAGACGCAAGCAAAGATCCGAACTTGTCAGCTGCTGCCTCAGACTGTGTTGACAACCTCGTGGACTCGCTCGCGGAGATAAATGAAACGTTGGACCGTCTGAATGACTGGGACCTGCTGAAGCTGAAGGAGCAGCTGGGCGACTTGCAGACATGGATGAGTTCCGCTCTCACACTCCAGCAGACCTGCCATGACGACTTCGTAGACATGAATGTGACGACGGGTCCGGCAGCTGAGTTCCTTTCGAAGGGTGAGTACACGGAGAAGCTTCTCAGCAATGCTCTCGCTATGGTGAATACTCTCAAAACCATCACCAACGACTTCCTCGGCAGGCGCTTGCTGTCGGAATCCCAAACATTCACCAAAGAGTCGGAGGATTGGGTGAGCCCTCTGCGGAAACTTCTGCAGTCTACCTCCACTGTCGTTCCGGATGTCACAGTGGCGCTCGATGGGTCCGGGGACTACACCAGCATTCAGAAAGCTGTGGACGACGCCCCTCAAAAGAGCGACACCCGCTACGTGATCTACATCAAAGCTGGAGTGTACAAGGAGTACGTCGAGGTGAAGAAGAATTTCTGGAACATCATGTTTATTGGAGATGGGCAGAACAAAAGCATAATTTCTGGAAATAAAAGCGTGGTCGGCAGTGGAGTTACCACCTCGAAGACTGGCACACTAAGTACGTCTCTCCTGTCATTCTCTTGAAATTTCTCTTAGTCTGATGCCTCTACTTTCAGGCGTGATTCACCTTAGGACCCTGAGCTGAGGCGATTCTTGCATTGTACTGTATTTGAAATACCTTTTTTTTAGCGTAAGTACTTTTTACGGGAAGATGTGGCTTGACGAATATGATGTGTTAAATCTACCTAATTCGTTGGAGTCCATCGTTGAACCTTGCAGCTGTAATGGCGAAGGGATTCATCGGACGAGACTTTGCAGTGGAGAACACAGCAGGAGCAATCAACCATCAGGCAGTGGCGTTGCGAGCGGCAGGAGATTTGTCGGCGTTTTGGAGGTGCACATTTCTCGGGTTTCAGGATACATTGTACACTCACACCAACAGGCAGTTCTACAAGGACTGCACAGTGGTGGGAACGGTGGACTTCATCTTCGGCAACGCAGCCGTGGTGCTCCAGACCTGCACAGTCTTGGCCACAGTGGGCAATCCTGGGCAGCAAAACACGTTCACTGCGCAGGGACGCACCGACCCCAACCAGAACACTGGAATCTCTTTCCAAGGATGCACAATTGACGCCACCGCCACACTTAAAGCTGAAGCCGCCGAGCATGCCACTTATCTCGGCAGGCCCTGGAAGCCGTACTCAGTCACAGTCTTTCTCCAGTCGACTCTGGGCTCCATAATTCACCCTGACGGTTGGCTTTTGTGGAATGGCGAAACTCAACATTTAGACACCATCTATTACGCTGAGTACATGAACTCTGGTCCTGGAGCTGGTGTCTCGAAACGTGTCCCTTGGTCTTACCAAATTGCTAACGTCAAAGACGCGAGGAAGTTCACTGCCAATGACTTCCTCTCCGCCCCAACTTGGCTGCCCTCCACCAACATTCAGTACACAGGCTCTATCTAGCTGATATGTTAGCACTTTCAGTTCCTTAATTAAGAGACCGGGAGTTTCAGTTCTGCAGCCTGAAGTTTTCTTTTTGCTGGAATCACAGCACTGAGGTGATTTCAACACTGAGCTGATCGGATAGTCTTTCAGCATTCGAAGAGTCTCGATTGGTGCGAACTTTTCGGACCTTGTGGCGTCTGGCTGGCTGCCGAGCTGAAACATCGGTCTCTCAGAGCAGGCGATTTGAGAATTTTCCTGCTCATGTTCGCGTTTCGGCACACTTGCCCTTTGGAGTTTTAGGATCACATTTTTCTCATTCTGCGAAAGCCGGATCGTTATCATCGTTAGTCGGTGTGAGATTCACAGAGTGTTCAGTTGTTTACATGCTCTTCCATTCGAGGAATTCCATTGAAGGAAGTTTATGGAGTAGAATATTGATTGAAAGGAGGAAGGGGAGGAGGGAAGGGAGGCCTGTTGGGAGGTAGATTGAACGTAGTTAGCTGGGAAGAGGACTATATTGACCTCTAGAGTTCGAGTATCTCTTCCCAGAGTTCTGCAATTGTACAGCTTTAGATTCGAGTCAGGCATTCCAAATTGGAAAGTTCGCTTCTCGTGTAGTGTATAGCAGAGAAAATCAGTTCAAAAAAAAGCTAGTAATCTCGAGAAGAGAAAATTGAATAAAATTGTCTCGGAAATTCTTACCATCATCACCAAACCCGTCCATTTCTCTCTGCTGTTATCTTTAATGTCTGTCTGCTGTCATCAAACATCAACTGCCAGCCGCTGGGATCAAAATACAAACGACACTACGTAAGCTCATCTTTGAGAGGCGGGAAGCTTTGAAAACTGAACAAACAATAACGAGGACGTGTAAATTATGCCCAATGGTGAGACAACGATCCAGTAAATCTGAGAAAAATTGCATATCAAACTACTATATTAGTTGAAAGCCAACTATCTGTACCTCGCACACTAGAGCTAACCTGACAGTTGACAGTATCTGATTTTGGCCGCGAAGTCCGCGTGGCATAAGTAAACGACATCCTGAAGAAAAGTTAGATGGGCTTTACAGCTGCAGCTACCAAGTCTACCAAAGTGCAACACAATTTAGACAATTGAACGGACTGTAGCCCCTGAAGTGCTCTACGCACTAGTTGTCGACTGTCCGATAAGCTAGACCAAATGGCGGAAATATGTGATGTTGGTTGACAATGATGTCAGCCATGATAGAAGTAATGAGTGCTACTCACAGTTTGAATTTTGACAGTAAACCTTGACCTTCTGGTTTAGAAGAGGAGATTCTGAATATTACATCCACCACCATAGAATCGGCTTCATTCATTTACTTCATGTGTTGACTTAGAGTCGAACTTTATAATCCTGTACATTGAAAAAACCTGCTTGTAACTTATATATATGTATGTATGATCACAATGCCGGCTGTGCAGGATGGCGGGAACGACTTTTTTACTACAGCTAGGCACACCATTTTGCCATTCTTCTGCTTTCTCGCTCTGCTCGAAAAGAGAGAGCTCGTTCTTCCAATATGCTGTAGAGAGTTTGGATCCGTTCATGCTCGAATTTCTCCGCCTAGTCTCCAGCCTTTCAAAATATGGCATTAAGGATCATGTTCACCGGTCACGAACGGCACAACCTCAAGCACATTCAAGCATGAACTAACCGCCCGTATATGAGCATTTGCTTATGCTAATAAAACTAAGTTTTTTTTCTAAATCTCGTGTACCCAGGTTCTTAGAAAATTAAAATTTAACCCGTGTGTGCAATAATAAGTTGTTCACTTTTTTCGAGATTGTGGTCGTCTTGTGACGCATTAAATAATAATTTTGACTTTTTCTTCAGGGTAAAATTACAGCATATGATAATGGCACCCATATTCATTTTAGCTCCATGTTACCAAGACATAGATTACACCTCCCCGTGAAATGCTCGTAAAATGCTTCTAATTCTATTGGGTGCTTAATTCTTGGGATAGCCCCAAAAGAGCGGGTTCAACCCTTCGCTCACAAGACACTCACCACGACAACCGCGAAGTCAGGAGGAGCACAAGAGCAGCACCCGAAGTTTAGGCGAAGTTTCGACCGGAGGCATGGACTAGAGCCAGTGACCAGGAGCAGACGGCCTCTGACACGGCGACCCAGTCAGGCCGACCGTGCTCTCGTGGCGGAGTTGGCAGAGCCAGGCTCTCGTTACGCGGCAAGGCCTCCGTCTCTTCCAGCATAGGTCCAGCTCGACATTAATTCCGGCATTGACCACATGGACATCATAAAGCGACCATCGGCAGCGAGGGAGGAGGGAGTCTGACGACGACAACGTTGAGCCTCGTTCGAGCTTTCGGCGTTTGGGTTGTCGAAGTGGCATCACGTGGCTCTGTTGTCCCGACTGCCTGTGGCACTCGCGCCGAGGTGGGGCTCCGATGTCAGCCGTCGTTGCCGAACTCTGGCCGGATGTTAATCCGACAAGCGACACCTTAAAATACATCCGTTTTGACCGCATCCGCAGACGGAAAATTATCCTCTGGTGCACATATTTGTTCTTGTCATAATTTTGCAACTACCGTGAGGTTCATATCATGTGGTTCGCTGGACGTCATGAAGGATTGCAGAGTCCGCATAGGGCCCACTCGTGCCTAAATTTTTCCAAGCAAGTGTCGATATAAGACACTTTGGCTGGAAAATAAATACGATGCAGGAGACTCGATAAGTTAAGTTGGGTTTCCGTTTGCAAGAATGAAATGAATAATAATAAAAGAAGTGGGAGAATGGTATACCCAATATTGCTCCATGATTCATTCCAAATCAACTTTTCAAAATTTGGTTTGTAGTTGAAAATGCACAAAGTTATTGAGTCCAAAACAAAGATCATGACAAGTGTGACATATTCGGTGATTGATACAAAATAGAGCTTTTTGTTAGTGTCTACAGATTAGTCCAAGATAACAAGATCTTCAAATTTTTTTAGGGATGGGCTGTTTGCGCTCAACCTTTACTCTGCCATAGTTGACGATATGATTGCCGTAACTGAATAGTTTTGCAAAATTGTCCAATCGATTCCAGTAAGAGTTGCAATTACTTGCAACACGTGGTGCAACATAGCATTGCAAAGTTATTTTTTCATTACGTTTCATTAAATAGATAATTCCTTAACGTTACACGATTGCATTTTTTATTTCAAATATTTTCTACCGGTCAAATATCTGATTTGAATTGGACTTTGTTATGGAATTGTTAATAGCAGCAAACATGCACATGATGATTTTCGCTGCGACGACATACAATGCTAGTGAAATGATTCATACAATTGTTTTGACAATGTTTATATACTATAACATTATTTTGAGTGAGCATTACTATTTTGTCTTTTATCAAAGTCTTGATTTCAAGGAGAGAACACTTTGATTACAAGTTAATTTTGATTTGTTTGACTATATCTTTTATTGGTTAGAATAAGTCTAAAATTGACTTAGTGACAAGTGTAAGTTGTAGAATTTTGAAGCTATCAAGTGACACAAAAACTTTCAGAAGGTTTGGATATTCCCATAGTATGTTGCCACCTATTGAAAATTAATCAAACATACCTATGTTTATCTTAGTAAAAGTAAGTTAAATGATAATTATTATTTCTTATTATGATTATTTTTCAATTAATATAAAGAATTAAAGAAAAAAGTTTAGAGAGTTCATTGTGTGAGTATTTATTTCATCAATATAAGTTTGACTTACACTATCGATTTTGGAGTATCAATGAGTGTTTATAGTTGAATAAAGAGTGAAAAGTTTGTGATAAAAGATGTTTGAAACACGATCAAGTTGAAAATTCTTTCTCTTCTAGAACCATGATGAGCTATTGAAAATTCATCTGAGATAAACTTGAGTGTGAGGTAAACCTAAGTGAAAATAGCCTGAGATCACAAGGTAGTGAAGTACTTCAAAGATTTTATTGCTCCTGTTTACGAGTTGATACTACTATCTAGGGAACAAAAGTCAAAGTTATCAAATCAACTTTTGATTTATGAATTGTTGAAGTCACATTGCCAAGAAACCATTGATGTTACTTTGAGTAGCAAGTTCATCACATCGAAATCAAAGATGCCGCAAAAGCGTTGATGTCAAAGTTGGAGAAGTATAAGAATCATTTGACAGAAAGGAGAAATCATTCTCAGACATAAAAGTATGAATCAAAGAGTCAAAACTTTTTTAGATATTTATAAGTATTGAAATCAATAATTCCAAGTATCTAAAAAAATTGATTGTAGTTGAAGAAGATGATCTATCAATTATATGACAATATTAACAAATTTGGCTCAAATTTCTATGCTTTACTGTGAATTAAATCTAAAAGTACTTAGTGTCGGACGCATTTTTATAATTTAGTTTGAAATAGATCAGAATCTAAAAGAATTAATTTTGTGGTATATTTGCTTGATAAAATTGAAATTTCATCAAAATTGTAATTTTGTGGAACAAAGTATGTGCAATGACAAAAGATTCTCATAAAACATAAATTGCAAGTTCTCATTCAACATCTCAAATTCTCATTTTATCCAAATTTGCTCTTTGGATAAAATCAAATTTTATTTTGATTTAATTTCTGATTTCACAATACTCCAATGTCATAAGCTTTAAAAAATTTACGAGATAAGATACTTAAAATTATATTATAGAATCTCAAGATTCAACCAGCGTATTTTTTAAATTTCACACACGTTAGAACTTTAATCACTCACAAGTTTAAAGTTCATTAATTGGTTTCAATCTGTGTTTAAGATTGAAATATTTTTGATTGAAATCCAGATACAAAATACCTCATCAAAAGAAAGATTTTTCCATTATCTGCATAAGATTAACATCAATAATACATTTGCATTTTTTTCTCAAAAAAATTACTCAATATTGATTTAATTCTTACAAATTAGTTTTATGTCATCAAATTTACTTGATTTCCTATCATGTTTTTTTTTCAATATATAGAATGTTGTTTTATCGATATATTGATGATACAATCTTATATTTGGAATTATAATTACTATTCAAGAATCTGATTAATGTATAGAAAATGGTATTATTTAAAAAAAATCTTTATTTTTTAAAAAAGATAGGAGTGAAATATTATGATTTCTTGAAAAAAAAATTAATTAATATAACTAGTTTATAAAACTCATTTTTTTATACTCAAATATCATTATCAAATATGTGATTCCAATCCATGTATATATTTAAATTTTAAATAATAAAGTAAATTATTACAAATTTTACTTAAAAAATTGACAACTGATTTAAAATGAATCAAGATCATGAGAATGATATATGTTTATATCTCACTTAACAATATATCTAAATCACATGTTTTTTTACTTAGAATCATCTTTAATTTTAAAAGCAATTTTTTGTATTTTTTGAAAAACATCCACATGAATATAAATGAGTTATCTAGGTTTTGTTCGACCTGCTACAACAAGACTAGTGGTTGATGAGATCGTTGTCAGAACTGTCAGCTGTTAGATTACTAAAATATAAGATGATACAGTAATCTAGTTAAACTGTTAAAATATGATCTCTGGTGGGTTGACGGTTGTAAGTTATAAGTTATATCTATGATTTGGATGCAATGAGCGTGTGTGTAATATGATTAGAGGGTTCCTGGTCACATCTATAAATTCAGAGATTCTAAAATCTCAGATGCAATGTCATGAACACACTCGTTGTTTCCTAGTTCAAAATGCATTTCTCAAGGCAAACAAATACTTGTAATGCATCAACTCCGATCGGAATGGCATGCACACAGATGATGTACTCGGAAATGTAAATACAGCGTACTAATGTTGAGACATATCGGGCTGTAAAAGTAATTATAAACTTGATTTCAAATTCGTTTGGCTTATTTCTTCCATTATATTTCACTTTAAATTCCGGGTTCTAGGGATGGCTTCTTGACAATTACCTCGCGAAGGACATGTTCGTGGCAGAGCCCAACATTAGGTGCCCATGCCCAAACCCACCCATACCCATGTGTTTTGGGTGATATTATTTTAAAATGGGTGGTTAGTATTTAGTGGTGGGTGGGCATAGTGATCAGTCAGTGATAGCTCAACCCTCTTGTTTCCACGCTCTCCACATCTGACGGACACGACGACACACTGAGAATTACAATACTACAAGCGCAACTGAATGTCAAAATCGAGCTACATGAGCATCTGCTATTGACCGAGGGAAAAACTATCGTTACTCCAACAAACAAACGCTAGAAGTTTCAACAGCTGACTCCCAATGTGAACAACTTCAAGCGATGAATGTGTAAAATAATTTGATCTAAAAGCATGTAAATGTGTAAAGTGAACGACTTTTTGTCTGTCAGATCCAACAAAGACTTGGTGTAGGCGGGTAATACACATTACACAATTTCTGAATACATTGGCGTAAGTGCAATAGCATGGGTGGGCCCATGTAATGCTCTGGTTGGGCATAAGAAGTACAATGTTGGCCTCTGAGTCGTAGGCAAAGCACATGCTTTTGCGTCAACTTGGCTTTCACATGCAGATGAAGATATAGATCCTGACTCATGTTTGTAATGGCGCATAAATCCAGAAACATATTACAATCTTCAAAGGAACTTTCTGTAATGTATTCACTTCTAACGCCAGACACCGTGTTGACTCTTTCAAATTTATCTCACCAGGAGCTTCACAAAAATGCCGACATTGCCTGAACGCAATGTCTGCGATGTCAGCATAAAAATGCCCACATGAATATTGACCGAGAGCACTCGGGAGCTGCATTGCCCTAAAATTACTCAGGCAAACATTATATTTCACACCGATAATTAGGGTGTGTTTACAGTCGGTACAATGCTAAGATAGCATGAAACCTGCATCTCGTAGCCCTCGCCGACCAGCCACCTTGCAACAACCCGACTCAAACTGGGATAATAGATACTAAATCATTTGAATCGTAATGTCACGCTATGGCGGCTTGAACAGCACTTTTCTGACGGGGGTTCAATTCCTGCTCAGAAAACAGCGTAAACCAAGCACTCAGATATTTTCCATTAGACTGCTACAACGGCAGGAGATAGTTCGGTTCCAACATCTGCTGTGGCTGTCCTTGCTCCTATAATTTCATGGACAGACCTAGTTCCGATAGGGACGAAGAAAGTTCACATTTTGACGAAAGAGAAGCGATGATTACCTGGAAAAGTCGCTCAGAAGTAACTGGGTCCTTCGCTAGAAACTGCTTCATGAAATTTCTTAGGTGGGTTGAAAGGTTGATCTGGACATAAATCAGAATATCCAGTTGGTGAAGTGAGTTGAAGGTATCTTCATAAGCAGCATATGTGAGTGATATAATGAATGACAGTACATGTCCCTAAGATAGTTTTCTTGTAAGCAAAACCCGGCTTCTAATTAAGTCGTAGACACCAAAAGAATAATCATTGCTCGACTTGACTTGATTTTTCAGCTGTACTGGAAACCTCAGAATTTCCGAATAATGAGAAATCATGTCATACATGTCCATGTATGACATGATTTCTCGTGATGCTTGCATAGTCGTAGAGAAATACCTGGTTTAAAGGGTCTGTAGCAGCAACTGGATCCTCCTGATAGTCCCCATCTTCAATCTGTGGAAGAAAACATCAGATTGAGTAATTAGCTTCAGATGTAAACAGCAGGTGATATCGTTGGGATAGGGGGAAACAAATATTCTTCATCGGTCGGTAGCTGTGTTATCAGTTTCAAGAGATTTTGAGTAACTTGAATGACATAGAACACGATATCCGAGTTGCAATGGTAAGACTAGTAAGTTTTTATCCTTACATCATCGTGTAACAGATGTTGCATATCATCAAGCGCTTTGAAAACTGATTGTTCCGATCCTGGCACTGGTAATGATCGGGTTGCTTTTGGTTCGTCCTCGTCCTCATCAATTTCATCCCAGTCGTCATCCTGATAAATGCAGACGTTGCTCCATTACTTATAAAGTAGTCGGTCAGATTCAGGACGCTTCAAACAGTTCCATGTATCGTTCACCCACCAAATCTGCTTCAGACGATTTGCAAACAAAGCAAAATTTTCAGGGACGTTTGTACACACCTCATCGCGTGCGGTTGCTGTTTGTTGCTCTTGAATTTCTAAAAGGGCATCTGCAAGCAGGGACAAAAGCTGCGCAAAAAAGTTTCACAGCACCAAATATCAATCATACTGTTAGATTATCCTGATGTTGTACAAATCAACCTCCAAGTTGAAGTTATCTGAAGCTGTAGACTAAAAAAGAGTGTGTTACTTTGATACGAGTCAAACATATACTGCATCCTGTAATGTACATGCTTTCTTCAACTTCTTCCATCCTTAATAGTCTGTCCGCTCTATCCATGCCAATCACCGAGTTCCTCGAATATAGTCACCTCACTATTTTTTACCTTAGCGGGGAGGAGCATCGTCGAGTATTGGATAGGTGCAACCTTGGAACGAGATCGGGTAACAACTCCGCTCGAATTGGTCTGAAGCGTAAAAGATAGTCACAAAGTGAGTGATACATGAATGAAGATTTCTGATTGTTTCGTAGATGTGAGATACAAAGGTTTGATAGCCAGACAGTCACGGGAATATCAAGACAAGAACTTAATCACAATCACAAGAACTCCTTGCCTGAAAACAGCAAAGCACTCGTTTCAGTATTTAGCACCCATCAAACCCAGTTCAGTACTTACCAGTAAATGCCCTTGAACTCTGATGCGGGCAAGTTGAGGATGGCAGCAGTCCAGCAGCAATGCGATGGCCGTCGTGCTCACTTTCATTTGATATGACCCTGGGATGTCTCCTGCCAAGGTCATAATAGGTCCCATTCAAGGAAAGTTCAGAAGAGGCCTTAGGTTGATTAATGGCGAAGGCTTGACAGAAAAAAAAACACCCCAGAAAACAGGGAGCAGGAAAATCCCTAAAATATTTACAGTTATGGCTCATCAAGACCATGAGTTCTCACCTTGAAGTTTTGTCCACTCTGACATAAGGTATTCTAGAGCATCATAATCAACAGGCAAATTCGCAACCACATCGACAAACTGGCCAACATTGGGCGCACTCATATGGACCTGGATAACAATCAAAACAACAAAGTTGAAGCGATCCTTTGCACTAAAAGTCATTAATTTACAGATGGTACAGATGGTAGATTCAATCCAATTGAGTTTCAAAATGCATGAAGTAAATAATGAAAAGAGATATTTACGAAAGGGCAGAATCGTACAAGTCTGGCAATAACTAACAAAATTGATGTCTTCAAGGCTATCATTTCACTGCCCCGCATGCGGGCGAGCAGGGCTGTGATGAGTTGACTGAAATGGGGTGCCATATTTGACGACATATTGAGTATCAAAGCTGTGACAAAACCACCCACGAATAGTGCTGAAGAGCTTTCTAGTTCAGGATTCAGCAGCCTGCAAAATAAAAAAGAAAGAGAGAACTCAATTTCGAAGCGTCCGATATTGTTTACAAAGTCCTGAGAGTATCAGTAAAAAAGATCCGGTTAAGTAGAATCTCTAGTACCTAGTGACCTGAACAATAGATCTCTAATAAAGAACAAATCGAATTCAGAATTAGAAAAACCATATGGACCCTTCTATACGACTGCAACAAAATTACAGAAACGTTCCTAGGTTTACAAAACCTATTAACATTTCACTACCTGCCAGCGGCGTCCAAGAGCATATGCAAACTGCGATTAGCATCACCACCCCATGAGAGTAAATCTTCACCACCTTCTCGTACGAAGGCAGACAAAGACTCCGTGGCATTCTGCAATGGACATGAAAATCGAAGAGTTCAAGAGAGTAGAGTGAGGACAAAGAAATGTGCAAATTATATAAGATAACTCAGAAAAAGGTTGACTCGTTTATTTTAGCTCGAGTTTAGCTCACCTGTAATTCGCTGTTATCGTCGCTCCGTAGAACTATGTTGAGGACAGGTATGAAGGTAACATCATGCGCGCGGCGGACAAGCTCTTTGGGTGCTTTCTGCACAAACCAGAGATTGTATTTCAACACGGTCAACAAAGATTTATCTCTGCCAACACTCATGTAGCCATGCGCTGATACATAATCAGCTAAGAAGATACTCAGTGTTTAAGCCCTTGCTTGCAAATTGAGATCATGGTGCGACAACAAATAATGTTGAGTCAGTCTAAGCGAAATTTGAGTAAAGTTTTACAAATATGAACGTCAAAATGAAGGTATAAACAACAGTCAAATGCTATCTCAGCTTAAAGAAGGCAAGAGTCCAACCCAAGCGAAGTTTACTTTTGGATGACTAGGACTCCGTTCTCTAATTATAAGTCAAAGATACTGTTATGTTCGTCCCCAAATATTACTCGCTCGCTTATAAAGTATTCAGAACGATTTAATATTCTTGGACAGTGTGAAGAATCCTCAATCAGAGGGCGATAGCGGATGGTCTGTCCGTATCTGTCCTGATAATGAATATTGTCAGATGATCAGATCTGTCTCCGATCTTAATCCCTACCCAAAGTTGGTAAAATAAGTCAAAAAACTACCAAGGCTGAGTCAAACTACAGTTTCTAAAAGATTTTGACATTGCCACATTTTGCCTCCAAATCTGACTTAGTGGTTGAACTTTCCCTTCTCTTCAATCATCATCATTAGACTGACAGCTTAAAAGCTCGATTGCTTTGACCCTGGGAGGACTGTTTACAACGCTTAAATATCTAACAGCAGCATTCTTTGTTCACCGGGTTTAACATTACTGACCTTCAATAGCATTGTCAGGAGATCTAATGCACCAGCAATCATTCCTACCGGTTGTTGACTTGTCTGCAACCACAAAATGTAATCACTCTCTCAGCCAGGCCTTAGAATCTTGACAAAGACTCCACTTGCAACAAACCTTGGAAGATGCAACGAATTGCAATCTAGAGTTTAAATAAGCATCGAATAGATACTGACCTGCTTTGGTCTCTACTATTGAATAGGAGGAGCAATTTGAAGTAAGAGACTTGACACTTGATGAAACAGGAAAAAACAGGGCTTGATAATAGTCATACGTTGGCAAAAATAGTTGCCAAAACAGGTAGCACAAGAGCTGCCAGCGGCTCCAAGCAGCCTGGAACCTCCTTTATTGCCTGAACATGAGAATAAAATTTGACCTTGTTGAAACTGGAGGCACTTACAAAACTGAAGGCCATAAATGATGGAAAGAAGATCCATCAAACTTCCATGGGCAGCTGAAATCAAGTAAGAAAGAACTCCAGTATGACAAACGGATGCTGAGGATCATTAAAATTTGCAAGTTTTCATCCTACATACTACATAAGATATCTCACTCCTTCATCTACTAGTGGCATTTCAAAGTCAAAAACAATTTCACGAACCTACCTCAAGTATCTCCAGCGCATCAATACTGATGAATGGATCAGAAACATGTTTGGCCCAAACATTCAGAACTAAGGGAGAGATTGTAGACTCGGCTGCTGCTGAGGCTTGGCCGTCTGTAAGGAGAACAATTTGAGCCGGGGAAAACAGGAAGCAGTGAGCTTCAGTTTTGATTATAGCAAGCGGGTAAGAAATACCAACAGATAATTCAACCAACTAGCAAAACTGATCACACTTGGTGGAAAAGTTTAATACGAAAATGAGCTTACAAGAACAATATGACTGAACATATATCCAGTGTTTAAACAAACATTTCAAACATACAGAAGTCTATGGCATTCGACAAATAGAAGCAAGTAAGGTGTTAACAAGGCAGAAACGATCTTAAGGTACATTCTTACTCGCTCTGACCGCAGCCTGCAATGTTTCCAAAACTAGATGGAGTGTTTCATCCGAAGCCTGCAAAGACGTAACCGTTTTACTGGATGTTAGTGTATGGACCTTCAGAGAATCCTCATATCCAAAACTATAAAGGTAGTACCAAAATAGATCATCGAAAGAAGATGGCGTACGATCAACACTGCCACACCTCTTGCAATAAAGCTCCCAAAGATGCGAACACAAGGCTTAAATGTGGCTGTAAAACTGAAGGATCAACGTTCGGAAAGAGTTCAGCCAGTGCTCGGCATGCACCGATCTTGATCGGAGGAGGACTGCAATCACAAAAAAGAGAGAACATTAGAAGTACTGATTGAAAACGAGTAAAGGCGTACTGCACAGAACACACAACGACCAAACTTTCAGGCAAAAAAATTTCCCATAAAACTTCAGAGAGTCCCTAGATACTCACACATCTGAAGCCAAACCCATGACCGCAGCGTAGAAGAACTGCTCAGACCTTGCTTTATTCATCTGATGTAATGGCCATATTGCACCGTTAACAATCTTCACTCGATCTCTTATCCTCTTCGACATATTGAATAAAATAAATCTTTCATAATCAACTACGCAATCAAGAATGGTGAGGGCTGTTTGAAAGCAAAAACCGAAGACGAGAGCAATGCTTGTCTAGCTGAAATTCTCCAATATCAGGTGCCTGGAAAGGCCAGCCACGAGTCTAGCACTCGGTGCATCCTTGGCAACGTCTAATCAGAAGAAACACTACTGTTAATGTTTTCACACCACAAAGTTTTTAGTGCCCGCTTCGACCAAAAAGTTGACACTTACAGCTGGGGCAAATTTGGCCGCGGCCCACAAAGCCCTGCCTCGAAGAAATGAGCACTGATCAATACCTGCAGGTATAGAATAACGAGATTCTTCATGATCTTTGAAAACAGGATTTTGAATCCTGTAAAGACAACCTCTTCAAGCCTAAAAAAGATGAAGATACTATGGAAGCACAGGTGAGAGGGGCGTACAAAATCAACGACTGGAAGGGAGACATAAGGGTGCATAAAGCATGCGAAGGCCAATAAAATTACAAAACTCAGATAACACGTAAGGTTTCTTACACGCTGCTGCAAATCATCTTATTTGAGATTAACTGCATACTACTTGAACTACTTCAATTGTCGTCCCTGTCAGTGTGATGGAGTGTATATTGACTCAAGACTTTGGCTCTTAATGTAAAGTTTGAAGCGCAATAGCTAGACTTATATCTTTGGCTCGCTTACTATCATCACTTTTGACGACCAAATGCCACTATAGCATCCAGAACTACAAAATGTGGGGTGTCTAAGATCCAAACCTTGTCCCAGATCCTCATTGCGTATGCTGTCGAGAAAAGGCTCCAACCTAAAGCTCATTTTTCCTCCGCTCTAAAAATTCCGGAAGCAACAAGAGTCACTCTTGACGCTTTGTCAACATTGAAAACGAATATTTGTGCAGATTCTCACAGCTTCAAACCATAATATCTCAACTAACAAGCTATTAACTAGAAAAAGCTACGAGAATAAACCCCTCGTGGTCCATGACTCTTCCGACCGACGTCCAAAATACACAAGAAAGATGATAGTGCAGATGATATGAGCACCTGAGCTTCAAACAGAGATCCAGCAACGGTGCCGACCGCCAGAATTGCAGCTTCTCTTAACTGCAAAACAATTCCATCTTACAATCATCTTTACCCCAGAATAAGATAAGAAACAACTAGAAAAGCTGCTGAATGATTCAATTAAATGCATGTCCATTTCCAAAAGATTGAAAATATTGGTCTTCAAGGTTAGCCAGATGTCCATCCTTCGAGTAGAAAGTTCACATTAACTTGCCTTCCACCAATTCTTCCTACCGGCCGCTTTTGCTTGAGCGGCTTCTACTATCCGTTTTTGCACGGCATCTACGATCGCCTGCAACGCTTTATCTTCAAAAGTTTCTACCAGCTCTTCTAACAAAAGAATACCTGGAAAATCGTAACGAGTACAATATCAAGTCTGTGGTCAAAGACTAGGATCCACCAAGGTTGATACCCAAGCACACCACGGCATTGATACAGAGAGGAGTTGGAAATTCTTAAGTATAATCTTGACCATGACATTTTCTGCTACAAAGATAGTCATTATTCGTGAAGGTGAATTATATCCTACATCATGCATAACCAGTTTTCAAGATATCTGTTGCGTGAATTAGATGTGACTCATTTCTGCGGAAGTTACTCATAGAAATGCCCTCGAGAACGTTGCCTCCCGTGACGACAAGTTTATGTGATTAAAGAAGAGAGAGATAAGCACCTGATAGTCGGCAGCTAAATGTGACATCATCTTCATCGGCAACATACTGATTTGGATCTGCAGACCAAGTTTGCTCCTTGCAGAACAAATGAAAATCAATAAAGTTAGTACACGTACAGAGTGTTACAAAAACTAATCTCAATAATGACTTGTCATTCACAATTGTGCAAAGTCCTAAGATTCATGTCAGTTACTGATGACGTATATCCTCAAGGGTTGTTCAACAAAGTTATCGAAAAGTGAAGTGATTAAATTGTAGTATTTGAGGACAAACTTGGTAACACGTGAACCATCACACACCAAAAACCTAGCAGATGGTCATGAGATCTTGAAACATAGGTCAACATACGCACATCAATACTACGATCTCTCATGTATACAAAAATTCAGCGGTCTCGACATCAAGCCTGAAGATCCAAACAATCAAGCGACGCAAAGTAATATTTTCATAACAGAGGGTATGAAGCTCTTAATATTGTGATAATTCTACCTGCTCCTCGGTCATTTGCATGTAACCGATAGTGTAGTAAACAAGATCCTCCATATTCTGAACTATCTGCACGGTCAAATATTTGGAGCATTTCAGAGAAAATTTAAGAGCACTACAAGAGCTAGTGTAAGACTAATGTACATAGAAAAGCATCACCGTAAATTTTTTACTAGCAATAGTGGTTGATCTGGACGTATGGAGATAAAACGCAACAATGTGAACCGGCCCCTTGGTTATCCAATCCATTTGCGAACTGATTCATCAAACGATCAGGATAAAAAACTGTCGATTAGTGCTATGACTGTGACTTGACAACCAAATTTGCCCAGATGAGCAGTCTGCACGCAAATGTACTACGTCTATGAACATGCGAATGTACAGTTACCTTTCTGAAGCGGGGGCTTCCCACTGCAGTGAGCAAAAATTCGAAAAGCTGTGGAGAAAGAACGAAAAGAACAGAAAAAACCTTTCAGGATATTTATCTTAAGTCAACTAAAACGCAGCAGAAACTCGACAAGCCTACAATTCTAGCCAGTGTGTATACATTGCTGCCTGGTAACAAAAATGTACAGTTTACTAAAAGAAAGTGCAAATATTTATATCAGGAAAAAATATTACCTGAATAGTGAACGCCTCTAAGCTCTGATCACTGCCATCAGAGTCAGCTAATCCTCCGAAAGATTCTTCATCCGCATTTATACAGGCTGAGTCATATACTTTGTATCCGGATACAAAGGTCTGCCACAGAGGACCAAGCACCACTGATCAAGTGAATGGTTAGGAGCTCGACTTCAAACTTGGTTGCTTGCTTAATGAGTGAAAACCGGGAACCCATAGAAGGACTCACCTGGGAACTCGGTTGTGGCAATATTTGCAAAGTTGGTAACAATTTGTTGGAGTGACTTGAGAACCTGTATAACAGTATTAATGTTAGATGTATGACAATCATTTCTGTTTTGAATATACCTGTACGATTGTCCATTCTGTAAAGAAATATAGAACACAGTAAGAACATCAATATTTTAAACCCAACAGTTCTGCGACGTCTGAGTTTATCAAAACTAACCTCCGTTCTCAAACTCCAGTCATCGGGATCTTCAGAAGGTACAGGAGGTGACAAAATTAAGGCAAATTGCTGTAGCCAAGACTTAAGCATTGGTGCCATCAATGCTCTAGTTTCCGTCTGCACCATCCAACAGTAATTTTACAAGAGGTGAGAAACAATGGTCTATAGCCAAATCCAAAAGACTTGAAGATAGTCAGAAGACACTTCACTTGACTGCCTCAACAGCAAGATCAATTTATGGAACTAAAACTCTTATACAATGTACAGTAGGAAGTCAAAAGGATCTGGCCTAAGCTTACCCACCTTATAGGCACCACTCATGACTCCGAGGGTAGATATGCAGCTGTGGAGAACGATAAGGGCACGACGGCGCAAGGAAGCATCATACATCTGCTTGAGATGGAAAATCGTGAGTAGAAGATTTATATTGAGAAGTAAATAAGAAACCGCAGGGGCTTAGCAATGAACCGTCTTATACCAACCCACGAGGTACAACCGCAAGGGCTCTAACACCAGTCCAAAAAGTACAGTTGGATGAACTTTTGAAAGTAGGCTATTGAATGGCAACATACTGTCGGTTGTGCGACTATCTGATGAAGAGCAGGAAACAAGACAGGTACAAGTGGCGGCAATAAAGTGTCGTCTAAATCACCAGCAAACAGTGCCAAACACCTCAAAGCCCCGTGCACTGCAACAAAATCAGCTCATTAGCATTGTACCAAATTTTCAGCAACGACTAAGAAAAAATTTTAGTTTTGTGGATCCATAAAGCTCTACGATTATTCCTTCCATTGAGAGATAAATTCAGGTACACAAAGTGAAGAGGAGATCTGTAAGATAAAATATCAACACAGGAAATTAAAAAAAGACTATGGCGTCGTGAATGTGTAGAATATCCCATGCACATTTAATAAACAACAAAACATAAGAATAGATAAATGCAGGTGTCATTTCGTATGTAAGCCCTGACATGCAGTCACGGGGAAATGGATGCCCGAAATTACTGCATATCCTCAAATATAACACGTCTTGTATCACGTTTCTAAAAAGTCCCAGTGAAATATACCGACAAGTTTTGAAGTGTAGTTGTCCAACCTCTATTAATATCACTTCGGTCGCTGATAAAGCCCAGTAAATAATTCATCAAGTCCGGCCACTCCTCGGGCCAATCTGAATTTGCAATAGTTGCAATAGCCATTCCTACGGCTGTCCTGATTTTGCCATGTGGATCCTCCAATGCTTGAGGAAGAAGGCCACGAATTAAAGCCTGCACATAAGACCCGTAAAATTAACCAACCTCTTTGTTTAAACTCTGATGATGGGTGATATTTGTAGAATACATAAGTCACCAACGCCCACGCCAATAAGAAAGAGGCAAATGAAGATTTTCCTGTAAGGTCCACAAAGATGGAGTCCTTTTAAAATAAGCTAACTTTGAAAAAAGTTCTCCGTCACGGCCTAAGTCAGTTCATATCGGTTTGCATACAGTATATAACAGAAGCATGAAGTTGCAAAGCCACCTTACCCAAAGTACGCATGTTAGGTAATATATTGATAGAAAGAAAGTGAAGAAGAGAATGATGCACTTTCCAGAATGTGGGATATTATTCGGAAGATGGGCGAGCTTTGGGATTGATATTCAATCGCCACAAGTAGGGTGAACCAACCTTGTCTTGAGCAGAAGCTTCGGGTGGAAGAAAATCTTTCTCTCCCGCTTGCCAATGATGTTTCACATACTGCTTTAATAAGACTGCCGCTAGGTGCACAGAGAATTAAGTGAAGCAAATTTTCTAATAGGTAGCTGACAGAGCACGGTTGCCATGATTCAACTCTTCACCTTGAGAAAAAAACTCGAAAATATTCGTGTCATTCCAGGTTTTCTTGTTTAGAATTTCAAAGCCTACCATGCATGGAAACATGTAAAATCTCTTTCACTATGAACCTTAAAACTTCCATCTTCCACAATTGTTTCTTCGCATCGTTTCTTCTGTTGGAAACAGTGCATGGAGATGATCGAAGAGGTTGTTCGGCATTAACTTCATTTATACAGGAAAAATTTCTTCTTTCTAAAAACATGTTTTACTTCTTCTAGTTTTAAAAAAATTCTGACTCAATCATATTGAGCTGTGTAGAGCTTCGATAAAACGCATGAGACTTGAGAATTGTAACTTGTTAAAACTTTCGCTGATGTGTAAGGTAGGACTGCATTCATACATTTAAATTGGGTTACAATTAAGGACACTGACTGTTCCACTCTGAACTGAAATAAATAAATTCCAAACTTGAAAGGATATCTGGCGCAGGCCAATTGGCACCTCCTTACTGACTGTCACCTTAGCAAGAGCCACGCCATAACCTGCATTCAGTGAGATTTAACTAAGTAAGCATTTAACTAAGTACAACATAACAGGTTTCGATTCACACGCTAAGACTGTCTCGTTTGGAGAATCACCTCCTGGGATGGCAATCTTTACACGTAAATTCCAAGAGCTCACATCCATCTTAGCTGAACCCTAAACCTCGGCCGATGCACAAACATTTACACAGAAAAATGTGGAATGGCGAACTTCGTGGACAACAAGCGCTAGCACCTGGATGAATCGATGCATTTTTCAGGGCATCCTCGGCGGCAACTCTAATGCCAGGATTGGTATCAAGCGTGGCTTTCAAAACGTTGGTCAGCCAAACCAATTGACCAGCCTCTGCAATTCCTGTGTTTTCCATCCTCGCTGCTGTGTGAGCAGAACAAATTCCCGCTCCTCAGATTCCTGGTCTCTATCAGCAGCCCGTGTAACAACAATCCTTCGCATTCACAAAAATCAGCATCCGGGCTCACTGAGATCTTTCACAATCCTGAAGCCCACTGCCAGTAGCTGTTCCCGCCCCCAACAGCACAGCAATCATCATCCATCCACTCGGGAGTTCCTGGACCAGCTTACAAACTCCTAAACTGCTCTCTGTACATCCGTAAATCCGTCTCTTCATCAATCCGCAGATCAATCTACCAAACAAAACCTCTCACAAACTAATGAGGCCGACAAGTTTCCTTCAGGCCAGCTTAAATTGGAATTTTGAGCTCCGCAAAACCCCTTGAAACCTTCGCTCCACTGCCATGACTCACGATCGGCGCCGTACACAGGCGCAAATCATGTTCAAGCAATTCCGGATGCAGGCTTACAGCATCCCACGCTTCAAGGATGGCTAAGGAGAGCTCTTCTTGTGTCTTGCTGTCAAAAGAAGCATGTCTGATGTCAGTCCAGCCTTGCTTGGGCTGTCTGTAGGCGCTAATCATACTTACGCCAGAAGTACGACCTCTAGATTATTGACCCTACGAATACTCCGGATTAGCATCTCACAAATCCGGCGTATTTTCAGAAGGGTTAGTCACAATCAACGATCTCTGTAATCCGGATGCAGTTTAGGGCTTCCAAAACAGCTCCATTTACCACCCGACCATTTTATTCTATTCTCGTGAACGTCTACACTCCATAATAAAAATAAATGAGATTGAAGGCAAGGTTGGAGACAAATAAATATAACCAAAAGGAAGGTAATAAAAATCAAGGTCGCCTCTGCTTGAACTAACCACAGTATATAAGCCACAGTTGGGAAGGAAAATCAACCACAATAATCCCAATTAAGAAACGAACTATTCCTTGGTACATGTATTGTACATGATCCTCGCAGTTCGGTGCACTTTCAGAAAATACCGGGGGTAGCGTATAATCCTATTATTCCATTTTTTCCTTATATTTTATGACGAGCGAAGAATTACGTGCACATGCATTACAAAGCACGTCCGGTTATAGTAAAGTTATGGTCGGTGTAGCGCACCAGTTTACTGCTTGGTATCGAAAGCCTTTAAATCAGGGAAATGATTATTTGTGTATTCGGTCGCTTTCGCCGCGCAGTGAACTGTGAATTGGAATGTCTGGGGACGGTGTAGTGAAATCCCGATGTCGCTGCAAAAGGTATTTGATCGAAGTCAGGCGTGACTGTCGGACTCCGCCGTCATTTGGTGGTAACGTGGATATGTTCGAAGGGGCTGCTTGCAGCTTTCCCGTCTGGGTTTCTCTTGACTGGATTCTTGTCACGTGTTGCACCACGTCCTGCGCGTACAAAGGTTGCAGAGGATCTCATAAATCTCTGAGTATAAAATGTCGGAGACCATCTTTCAGCGCCGGACAATTGTTATAATATAAGGTTCTTATTGAGACTGTGATGTTTGAAAAATAACCAGGATGAGCTGCAGCCTGGGAATTTCATTCGGGTATCACTAATACCCGAATGAAGTTCCCCGACTGCAGCTGATACCGTATCAGTGAATTGTGTGGAAAGGAGAAGAACGAAAAGCGGAGGCTCTCCTTTCGGTGCCCTATAGTCTGCATTGCCCTGATGAATCAATACAGAAAGTAAAACAATTGGGAACGAGTAGACGACAGGTTTTATCGGAGAGGCTAGATTGGGAATCTTTTGTTACTATTATAAATATTCTTGACTAAAATTAAATTTTTTGGAAACATCAAAACTCGGTCCATTCAATTTCAAGGAAATTGGATTCTGTGAGGGTACTCTTCGTCTTCCAGTTTACTTGTTTCATTTTCAGGACACCAGCTCATGAGAATCTAATTTTCACCGACTTCCCACCAGGTGTTGATAAAGGGACTGCCCAATCATTACTTCACAACAATCCGATGATGAAATGAAAATGCTTGTGCCATGTAACGAACCTGATTGATAAAGTTCTAGCGAGACTTCATGTAGTCGATGCTGCTGTGCTTTTGCATAGCGAACGCACTCGGTGAGTTCAGCGACGCACATGCTAGTGTTTGATCTTCTTCACTTCAGTGTCAGTTGAAGCTTCTGGAACAAATCGTGTCACCGAATTTTAGGCAGACACAACCAAAGTCGACCTATGATTTATCAAACTTACCATCGTGACACAAGCTCAAACCCATAGCTCCGCAGTGAAATTTCTTGCGCAACAGCTTGTTGACATTTTATTGGTGCCTAGATTCGATCGGAAAACGCTAATCAGGAGAACTGCCTTACAGAACTCTTACTGCTGTGACAGGCTAGTAACTAAATTCTTCTAAATCTGCGGAAGCAACGGGCGCATATCATGGTATGATGAACTTTTGCGTCCTTTGGATACTGCCATTGACTTGAGGTTGCGATGATTATGAGATGGCAAGGTTTACTGCACCGACCTCTTTGACGTGCACGGTGAGAGAGAATCAAATTAGACGTTGGCCTGCATTCCAGCAGCACAACCTTCGCTATCGTCAAAAATGAACCAACAAAACATCCCTCCCTGCAGGTCTGTTTTCAAAGTGCATCCACAAGTGACCCCGTGTTAATTTGTGAAATTGCGAACTTCTTATAATCTAAAACTTTGCTGTGGTTATAGGCGAACTTGTCCAGATTCGCAGGAGACTAATGTCATCATCTATTCTCTGGAAGAAGTCAGAAAGACTGGACTGGTAAGAAGGTCCTTCGTCCGCTCAGACAACAAAGGAGGATAGGAGCAATGTACCGATGTAGGATTGAGTCCTTATAGAACCGAAGCAAGATGGATTCCTTGAAAGTGGATGAGCCCCGAAGTAAACAACAGGGCATTTGCATGAACTGAGACTCTTAATGACGGATGGCGATAAAGAAATGTGGTCATAACTGAGTATAAATCACCTCTACATCCCACAAACTCCTCCTCAGTTAATCAGTAAAAAAGGAAACTGACAAAGACCGACATCATGATGGAAACCTGAAGAAAGAATTTCTGAGAGACATGGAAGGATACAGCTCCACATCTATCTGGACATTGCGAACAACAGCAAGGTTACTGGGTGAGAGTGATTGACTGATCCCTCAAACGCATTCAAGCTAACGCCACGATTCGTGACAACCACCGAAGAAATGACTTGCGCATCTTCATCACAATTCCCTGTAATCAGATTTGAGAGTGTAATCACTTTTCAGGGGTGATTTTATCATCTGTTCAGTCCAACTTAATACTAAAATCGTGAGAAGGAGAGATTGAATCCTGTGAATCTTATAGTATCACTTAGTAAGGGGGTATGAGCACCAAATCCACGACATGTTAAAATTGAAACAAGCAAGAGATGGATCAAGCAGCAAGACAGTTTGACTTGAAGCTAAGTCGTTGGGCAGAAGTGGAGTAAAATGTAGTAGGCGGTAAAGTTACATTACAAACGAAGAGGAAAGTAGATAGTTTCTGAAAGTCAATTAACCGATCTCTCTCATTGTACAACATATTTCCGGTAATTTACTTATACGAACACCTGTAAAACCAATTAACCGACTCCATTCATGCTACTAGCGACACTCGGAAAATTTTACTGATAATCAATGTGATGTAAGAGAGACAAATATCTGCAAAATCAAAGGTGCAAACATCACATTTTCTTGTCTACATCTCTCCACACAGCATGATCTTGATCTGTTAAGTCTGAGAGTGAAAGCCTTCAAATTCCTAATTGCCTATATAAAGTATCTCTAATCCAAACCCTCTCTTACAGCTTACAGATCACAGTTTTCAGTTTGGCACATGAATCCAGCTTATTCTTCGGGGAATAACTGATTGTGAGTCATCTCAATCAATTGAGCATGGCATATCCGCAATTTGTACTTATCTCGGTTGACAGACAGAAATCTGTGACAATATAAAAAACGTGATCAATGAAGCTATAAATTTGAGGTTTTGAAATTTTACAAATGTTTACAAAATGACGGCCAGACTTGCAGTGAGACCCCATATAATAATCAGAGGAGATGAATCTTCTACTCATGAGCATATAGTGAGAGGTTACTGCAAAACTAAATCCAATTTGGAAGTTTGAAATGCGGCCCTGGATTCTGATCACTAGAGCAAGTCTCAATCAGTGAGCTTTGAAACCGTCCACCGTATATGTTGCTAATTTCCCTTCTAGATTAATACGGTATCAACTGATACAACTAGGGAAAGTTGGACTTTCTTCCTAAATGCCGTTCGCAGCCCCCAAGTGCCTCACTCTTCCGAGCCAGATAAAATATGGTACTTTCAAGAAAGGTACATAAGGTATGCCGCCAGATTTGTTCTCTTCGTAGACTGCATCCGAGATGGTAAACGACCAGTTAGCTGTCATGGCACTGAATTTAATACCCAGGCAATGACCCCACTGAGGCTGATTTCTATATTGTGACCATGTATAGTAACGCACTTCAATCGACTTCAATAAAAAACGCTGAACAGGAAAGCATAAATATGAAAGAAAAAGAAAAGAGATAATACTCACCTCGCTCAAGAGTGTGGTCTAAGTACAGTCGACGCTCCGGTCCGAGTTCTATATTATCCATGTCAAATATGGCTCTCCAGAACCATCGAGTTAGGTATCCATGTTGCCGGTCTAATGAGTCGTACTTCATGGATGTGTAGAAGTCCGCCACACCAAGTATTCCGACAGCTTGATCAAGATATGATAAAGCCTTGTCCACAGCTGCCATGAAAGGTGGAATCACTGCCAAGACGATCACCGCAGCCATTAGCACATGTGATCAATGTCTCGCCTCTACAAGACAGCAATATACAAATGATGAAGAGTAAATGCAATGCTGCTGCATGTCTGACTTGAAGAAGCCCACATAGCGATCAAGACCAAAGTCCTTGCGTAGAACGTAAGTGAAGATGTCTATCCCCCGGTACGTGAAGAGACTCAGTTGAATAAGTTGACAATTCAAATATAGACAAGAGCATACTACTAGAAGATTAGATCTATGCCATTGGTGAAAGTGGTATATTACCGTCACGAGCAACAATACCGAAGTATATGTTATTTAGAGGCTTAAAACTTCAGAACTTACACACCTCAAAGAACTGATCTTTGAGCTCAACACTGAAACATTTCCAGTCCATGAGAATATACGTTGTCACTAGGACATCAATTTATCCAATCCTTAAATTTCAGCCTCATTCGAATCTCGTTAGCAGGAGTACAAGGCACTAAATTGTCCCACATGCTAAGGTACCTAAACAGAGTCTCTGAAGAGAACCACGTTCTCAACAATTTCCCAGCTTGGAAGCTTGGAAGACGTTTACTGAAGCAAACCAAACTAATTTTCAACCTTGAAAGTCATTACAATATCACTTACTTGAAAGGGAGTAAGAGAAGGTGACAAGGGTAGCACGCTTTGATTCCGGCTCAAATTCGCATACATCTGCTTCAACAACTTCGACATTTTTCCATCCTCGAGTCTGGGCCTTTTTCTTTGAGACTTCACACAGAGGACCGCAGAGGTCTACCACATAAATCTTCTCGAACTTAGACAGATCAACATACTCTGCCATCATATCTACATTCTCGCCGGTTCCACCACCCAGATCCACCCACACAAGACCTGGTCGTTCGCCGAGGTTGTTGATTTTCGCCGCACAGGCCTTGATCATGCCCCTTCTTCCATGCAAAAATTTCGCCCGAAAATGATCATCTGCTCCATATATTGCTCAGCATCAGATTCAAAAACAAACTCGATAAAGAATAAACGAATTAACGTAGTCGATCATCAATATTCGGAGACCCACAGGAATACTCTTTCTGACAATTCGAAAACAACAAAGGCCCTTGGATATAGACCTTCCGGTCATAATGAAATACTGAAAGCCTCGAGAGAACACGAAGAAGAGGACGAAGAAGAAGGATCCGATCAACAGACACTGGAAAGTGTCACCCATTGAGTGGAGGAGTGAATGAAATTGTAGCTTAATTTCCAGTATAACCTTCAAATATACAAAAAATTTCATCTCCACATCAATCGGATCTTTCGGAATCCCGCCCTGCTGTCAGAGATTCAGGGTTTATCACAGGGAGAAAGAACTTTGTTTCCACAAAATTAGGAGAAAACCATACGGGCGATGGTCCGCAACGCGATCAAGGCAATAATCCCCGGGATAGATCCTGACAACCAATTCTTCCAAGAAAGAAAACTCTGTGAAATGAAAATCAATAAACACAATGCACGAGCAACAAAATCGCCAATGACAGCGTCGGAGCAATGCAAGAGATCAATCAGGAGGAAAACCAACTGACATGCATCAGCTTGAGGTCCATAGAAGTTCTCCAGCCGCTCCTTGTGAGAATCTCCAGAGATTTTACTGAACCATATTGTTTTCAGCACTTGCAGATCATTCACAATATTGTTCACCAAATCCATCGTTCCCAACGCGCCTGAAGCGTCTCTGCGGATGGATCTGCCACTACATCGGTCAAAACTTCCGATTCATCGTCACCGAAACCACTATTCTCCTGCCTTCCCAGCGTCCGTCACAAAGCACGATAGGAACAGAGCCTGCTTGCTTGCTGGCTCGCTTGCTTGCTGGCATATTCGCCCATCGGAGCATCTGATACTGTCAGTGCCCAGTGACACCGTTCATCCTCAAACCACGATGTCTTGTCACTAGTTGCCAGTGGTCACTCACTCGGTCACGGTTACAGTTACTACGTCGTTCATCGGAATCATTCTCACGTCATCTATCCTTATGACAGGAGCACTGCCGTACAGTAAATCTCTGGGCTCGTGACGATTTTCGACCACTTTCATAATTTAATGTTCTCATTTTTGTCGATGTTGTGTGTTTGACAACAAGTTACATGTTTTTATTGTGGCTGTTGGGATGTGAAGGATTGCGATCTATGGGTTGGTAAATGTGCGACTTGTTTTTTATATCGGCCACTGAGCTTCAACGGATAAAGAAGTAAAGTATTTGTGATTTATTAATAGTTTCATGGAGTAAACAATTTCACATTAGTTACATCTTACTTCAACTCTCATACACCAAGTAATGTAGGGAAGACACAAGGAAGTGCTCCTGGGATGAATTTAATTGAACTCCTGGGGGCAGTGCTGAAAGATCATTTTGATAAAAACCTTAGTAATAATATCTGAGATTAAGTGAAACATACCATCCATATATATACATACATGTGTGATAATTGGTTTTATTTGTAAAAAATTGTGTTTACATCGTATAAATAGTCTAAACTAAATGTTAACAAAATAATAACCCTTCCCTTAGAGATTGATAGGTTAGATTATCTCAGGGATAAGATAATTTAAATTTGAATAGACTGTATGTAAAGTTTTTCTTTATCTCACATGTGTCCACCATTTCATAGCTCAATATAGTTTTTTAGCTAAAATAACAAAAAGATTATATCTTTGCACACTCTGGAAAATAAAGATCTCATTTTTCATTCATAATCCATTCCAATAATATGATTATCACTTTTCTAAAATAAAAGCACTTATAATAATTAAATCTACATCATATGCTTCAATATGTTGATATTAATCAATCAAGTATTGATGTATGTAGTCACTATGAATGTAAAGAATTCCTCGCCCTTTCTCTCGGTCGATTGTTTCAAATTCAAATGTTTGGTTTCATGGTAGTTAAAAAACTGAAATGAAAGTTAATTAAAAGATTACGAGCTACTGATTTAGACAAATATCTCACAAATAGTTTATCTCTGCATATATTCAACGTCTTTATAATTAATTCTAGTTAAAAAAATGTCTATCTTTGGAAAAAAAATTCATTCATTAAATCATATATAATATGACATCTTATGTGCAAATTCAATTAATTGTGCAATAATGAACAAATATAAAGTTATTACACCTTAAATTTCAATTTCAATATCGTTTCAATTACTCCACATCCAAGTCATGTTGAGATATTCAACCAATTTAAATCAAGAAACAATTTGGCATAGTAGAAGCATCTTAGTTAGCTACAGGTCTTCAATTGCTACTTTCATCTTGAAAATATTTCATATATAAATTTTCTTTTATGCTTAAACTGATAAGCAGTTTGATTTTGCGTGATTTTAATTTGAAACTAAATATTTTAAATACATATAAATTATTTCAAAGAATAAAAAAATAATTTTAAAATAATTTTTTATTCTTTGAAATAATTTTTATTGGTAGTGATTTTCAATCAATTGATAAAAACTACAATCTGTCTAAATCTATTAAAAAATAAAAAAATCAATGTTTTACTTTTTTCATACATTACTTTCATAATTTTTATATGTGATCATAGACAAATAAATCGGATAAAATTCAAAGCATATATTTTACAACATTATAATAAGTTAATCGATTTTTTCATCTACTCTAATCAATTTTTTTATTTTTTAATGTTTTCATATTATTCGAAATTGATCATTCTTTTGATATCACATGATTTTACTAGTCAGTTTTCATATTTTTTAGCTAAAATTAATTCCAAAATAACATACCTAGGTGTGAATTGCACTTAAATTTTTTATTTATGCATATAGCTTTTTTCAAAATAAAATAGTATAAAATATATCATGAAATAATTAAGCTTATTGATGTTCATTCACTCTATCACATTACCTTTTCATCAAATCAAAAAATGCCAAAGAAATGATTTTCCAAACATAAAATTTAGGTCCTAGTGTATTGGACATTATTTGTATCATGTTTAATCCATTAGGAAGTCTAAATTATTTATGACTATCTATTATCACAAAAGAACATGATTTCTTTTATGAAGTAAAAAACCAAGATGATGTAAAAATTAAAATTGGTAAAACAATATGATATTCATTTGATATTTTTCACCAATCAAAAAAGTATTAATGGATAATAATAAGACTAGTATTCATTTATTCAGACAAATTGTTTCCTTCAAAATGGTATTTAAATTATGAATATATTTTATTTTAGCCATATTTATGATCCTGTAAAAATCATTGAACTCACTTAAATAAATTTATCATTGTTCAATATGCTATTTTTGATTGAGTATATCTTATCGATGAAAAATTGCATAATTTTTCAAAAAAATTGAACAATTTTTATGTTCAATTTTAATTTATACAATTTTTAATTTAATGAATTTTATACAATCAAATGAGATATATTAATGTAGCAATTGAACATAAAAAGCCAAGATATATATCTTGGCTTTTTATGAACTTTAATCAATTTGCAATCAATTTGTTTTGTTATTGAATAAGTTTGTTTAAGATGAACAAATATGCCAAAAATTTTTAATATACATTTGTTTGAAAAAATGATGTTTTGATTTAAATTTTTATTATTTAATTTAAAAAATTAAATATAATTGGATTATGCAACTTGCACAATTGCGTGATTTCAGTTTCTGTTGATATGGTATAATGATTTTTTTGAATGCATTTTTTATTTTCTACAATAAAAAAAATTACATATAATAAGACTTTGCTATTTTGAAGATTTTTAACTAACAAAATTTATCTGTCAAAAAAATATTATTAATGAAATCTAATTTTGTACAAGGATATTTGTCACGAAAAAAAGTGTATTTTCACAAAGAAAAAGTTTAAGTCATTTGTTAAACATAATCACATACGTCAACACAAAACTGCACATGCACAATCATTGCAGACATCAAACTTATCGTCACTATTGACTACATGCATCAATCAGTATTTATTTCTATTTTGTACATATTGTTTGCAATTAAATTTCCAAAAATTATTATCTAATAAATATAAAATCGAGATAGTGAAGATCCATAAAGAACCTCAAGTTTTATTAAAAAAATTTGAAAATTGTTATTGAGAGTTTTTTTGAATCTTATATGCTGACAATTTAATCTAACTCATTATTTGGTATCAAGCTAAATTGTGTTACTAGAGGAATTGTGTTAATTCATAACAATCTATAACATGCAATGAAGATCTTCATTTATGTAATTATAAAAAATTATAGGAAAAAAACTAGCATAGATTTCTCTTTTAATTGAAACCAATAAGAATTAAACCGTAGGCAAAACATATATAAAGAATATATATAGAGATAACAAAGTTGCTAATAAACACTACTTGTGTGTCTCATGCAAATCTTGCAAAGTACTAAAATATTTTTTAAAATATTCAAAAAATAATAATTGATCAATGCATAATTTAATTCAATTTATATTGGATCAAATTATTACCATATTGACTAGTTTATTATTTTTATTAAAACCTGCATATTTGAAATAAAATGTCAATATGTTTTTATTTGTTGTTCATCATTTGATGAACAACAAGATTCAACGCATTTTGAATATCATAATACATATTTAAGATTTTTTGTTTCAATTCTATGTAAGTAATAAATCTATTCAATTAAATAATTTCTTGGCTACTATGTATTCAACATTTGTTGTAGATTGAGCTATATTTGTTTAGAAATTAAATTTTCAGTCAATGCATCCATTACCACATGTACTATATGACTATCTATTATCACAAAATAATAAATATTCATATCTATTATTTTGTGATTTGTAATTGTCTAACTTTGATCTATAGTCAACATCAATGTAACCTAGCAAAAATTGGACACTGTGTAATGAATCATCAAAACAACCATAATTTGTAGTGATGTTGAAATATATAAACATACTTTTTAAATTTTCTCATATATTTTAGCATATATTTGGCATCTTGTATATATAGCTAGAGCAATGTCAAATTTAGTAAATATCATCAAAAATATGAAATTGTTCATTTCTTTGAATATAAAATTGATTATATTCTTCATTTTCCATGGACATTAATTGGACATTGAATTGTAAAAAGGTTGAAAAAATCCATATCATTTTAAAATTTGTAATGTTATATTTTTTAAGCACATGATAAATAAACTTGCTTTGATTGAATCATAACATTTTTATCTGTAAATCTTTTTTTAAAATTTAACCCTAATATTTTTATAATGTCCCTTATTTTTCACCTTGAATATAAATATCTGTTGACTGCATCTGTTGACTTCTTATTCATTTATTCAAAATGAACATGTCATCAATTTAAAGTGTTAATAATAATAAAACTAAATATTTCATTATCTATCTTTGTTATTTCAAAATTTGGATCGAACACAATCTGTGAAAATTTTTTATATTTTCATGAACTTATTAAAATTTTGTGTTTCATTGTTTAGAAATTTGCTCAAAATCATATGATGATTATTCCAATATACAAATAAATTAGATTAACTTTTTTTTTCAAAATTAATTACTTATTTCATGTAAATATTTTACTTCAAAGGTGCATAAAATAATATTGTAGCTACACTTTTTAAATTTATAACCAAATTAAATATTGCAATAAATCCATATATCAATCATGTTAGAATACAATTACCCAATATTAATTCCATGTGTTTGGATTTGTAAAGTTAGTGTACGTAATTGTTAGGATTGTGATGTAGTGATTAGTTCTCTCATATTACCTACGACTATTAATTCCAGGGGATGAGATACTTCATAGTGGTGTGTCCCATTATAAAAGCATGACCCCACTGGGAAGTGTGATACTTTGT